GATTCCACATACAAGTGACATCATGCAGTATTTGTCTTTCTGTCTCTGATTTATTTCATTAGTATAATGCCCTCAAGGTCCATCCATGTTTGGATTACAGCCTCATATCCCCAGCACCTAACTGTATCTTCAGTACATTTTTCTAGGATAATGGGGTGTATTCTTTACTATGCCTCCCCTATCTCTCCTATTAATTCACAGTTTACATTAGCATGTTCAAAATTCTAAGATTTGAGAAAAGAAATATGTTTTCCAACTTAATTGACCAAGGAACTTCCTCTCTACCCCATAATGCTGATTAATATTTCATTTTAGGGAACACTGGGCTAGATTATCTGTAAAATTTCTTCCAGCTGATTGACTATATAGCACTTTATTCCAGGGGGAGATGTTATGAAATATTCAGTGCCATAGGAATTTCTGCTCAAATTCAAAGACTTGTAAAATTATTGAGACATATGTTGGGCTCTAAGTGTTCTAATAAAAAAAGTTGTTATCAGGGAAGACTGCAATTGTAGGAAAGAAGTCCAGTCCCCAAGCCATCATTGGATCTGTTCTCTCCCAGGTACTATAAAAATTAAAGACATTATTATTTCATGAAACAAATTTTCCAACTAATACTTGAGACTTTAGGCCTATAAGGTTATGAAGTATATATTTATTTTTATTAAATGTAGTAGAAAAAGGATGAAACTTTTATTATAATCAAACATCATGAAAAAAATGGATGGAATGCCCAAGTGATTTCTCAAAATTTAATTACCTTCTCACCAATTTTAATGAAACACATCTAGATCTTTGATTAATCAGACACAGGATACCCATACTATTATGGTAACACCAGGAACGGATATATTAGGACACTATATTTTTCTTTAATTTGGAAAGATTGCCTAGAATGAATTATATTGAACAATATGTTAATGTCTATTGAGTGCCAATCCTGTGTCAGGGCCTGTGGCCAGTGTGTTGCATCTGTTATCTCATGAAATAATCACAGTGTCCTGAAAGATATTTGCAAATCTCTGAATTACATCATATAGCTTCCCCTCTGAAGCCCAAAAGGTTGTACATGCCATCTCACCTCTTCCAGAGTCAGGCTGTTTTTCAGAACTCTTAACTATAGTGACCTAGATTGGTGAGCTCTAAAATTTTGGGAGCACCTGGGTGGCTCAGTCAGCTAAGCATCTGACTTCAGCTCAGGTCATGATCTCACGGTTCGTGGGTTCGAGCCCTGCAACACGCTCTGTGCTGACAGCAAGCTCAGAGCCTGGAGCCTGTTTCAGATTCTGTCTCCCTCTCTCTCTGACTCTCCCCTGCTCATGCTGTCTCTCTCTCTCTCTCAGAAATAAATAAAAACATTTTAAAAACTTAACTTCTAAAATAAATAAATAAAATAAAATTTTTCCTAATTTGGATCAGTCTTTTGCTGTGTTGAAATATATGGTTGATTGTCATTATTTGCAGATTGTTATTGTGAATTCACTGACTGCCAGAATTTATTTTTGACCACCCAAATCAATACCTGCAGTGCTTTTATGGTCATTTGTGGACATAGCAGAGCAGCCAAAAATTTGAGTAGCCCAATGTTCATGAACTCAGCTGAAATGAACAAGGTGACCCTCCCCTTATTGTGTCAGCTCTCACAATGTAAAGAAGTGTCCTTTCTACAGTGTAGGTAGTGCCAATTTTTCAGTTTTGTGGGTAGTTTAGTGGTGGTTTCAGTGTTTAAAGTGGCCTTAAGTGTAGTGCTAAAGTGCTGTTTACTGTTCCTACATGCAAAAGGCTATATGCTGTACCTTATGGAGAAAATGTGTGTATTAATTAAGCTTCACTCAAGCATGAGTTATAATGTTGTTGACTGTGAGTTCAATGTCAATGAATGAACATTATGTATTAAATAAAGTGTCTTTAAACAGAAACACATATAAAACAAGGTTATGTATTGACTGACAAAAATGTAACCATGGGCTCCCAGGAACCTAACACTGCAGTCTCCAGCAGCAATACTTAGTATTCCTTCATTCAGTGTTTACAACAATGCTATAGAACAAATTACCACAAATAATGAGGGTCAATGATATCAGAAAATTCCATTTCACTTGACTTTCTTAACTGCCCATTTGATGTCAAATATTCTGATTGTTCAGCCTTTGAATTGAGAGTGAGAAAGTAATGAAAGACCTTGAATGTCAAGTTTCAAACTGATGGGAACTTTTATGAGGATGTCATAAAGGCCCGAAATCAAAGATTTATAATGGAAGTCCCCATGATCCCTAACCCTCTAAGGCAAATGGCATCGATATAATCTCACTAATGTTCAGCAGAGTCCAGAGTGATTACTTTCTGACTTGAAACATGATTTCTTTCTGGGTGGGGAGGAAAAAGAAATGAGTAGAAATTTGAAAAAGTCTAGCTTACAAGGTTTTAAAAATGTTCATTAGGAATACTGCTCTGTATGAGTGAAACTAAGTTTGTCAGAAATGGTGAACTGTTAAATTTAAGTCATGTTAATAAAATCCGTGCTATCTCCAACTGTCTTTATTGTAAGCTCTCACATAAAAGGTTAATTTAGTCCAATCAATTAATTTATTAAGCACAGAAAGGACATATTGAGATACTACTGTAAAATGACTTTTTAAATTAAAAAATTTAAAGTAAAAGTTTGATACAGAAAGTCCTGACCTTTTATTACTTGCCTCATTCCTTTATAGTAAATGCAAAAATTACTTCAAGGAAATCTTATTTCTTTCACTTATAAGAGAATATTTAACAGACAGTGCTATTTAAACACTTTTGATGAGTTCCTCCCCTGAGATTCAAGTTATATCAGAAGTGCTTAATATTTTTCCAAAAACAATGAATCAGCGATAATTTAAATTTATGTGACTCCTTTTCCAAAAAACTATGAGTCTTAGATAACTTGTCAAATGATAGTGCTTTGGTTTTGATTTTGATTTATTCCCTGCCAGGTGCTGAGATGGTTATTTTCTATGTATTTTCTTTAATTCTGAAAATATCTGTAAAAAATAAGTATTATATTCATTTTACAGACAAAGACACTGAGGGTGTTAAAGGCCTAAATATTTCACTCAGGAGGTATATAAAGCTAACATAGCTTGTTAAGAAGCACATTCAAACTTAGATCCAGGAAAATATCCAAACACATTGCTTTCTGTGACTTTTAAAATTAATTTATAAGTATATATTTTAAGTGTTTTTATTTATTTTTGAGAGAGAGACAGAGCACAAGCAGGGGAGGGGCAGAGAGAGGGAGACACAGAATCCAAAGCAGGGTCCAAGCTCTGAGCTGCCAACAGAGCCCAACTCCGGGCTGGAACCCATTGACTGTGAGATCATGACCTGAGCCGAAGTTGAATGCTTAACCAACTGAGCCACCTAGGGGCCCCTATATGTACATATTTTATATGTTTATTTACATTTGAGAAAGAGAGAGAGAGAATGAGGTGGGAAGGGGCAGAGAAAAGGGGACAAAGATCCAAAGCGGACTCTGTCTATCTTCAGGGAGCCCGATGTGGGGCTCAAATTCATGAACAGTGAGATCATGACCTGAGCTGAAGTCAGACAACTTAACTGAATGAGCCACCCAGGTGCCCCTCTTTTTTTTTTATGTCTGTATTTGAGAGGGAGAGAGCAAATAGAATGGGAGAGGGGCAGAGAGAGAGGGGAGGACAGAAGATCCAAAGCTGACTCTGTGCTGATAGCAGAGAGCCCAATGTGAGGCTCAAACTCATGAACCATGAGATCACAACCTGACCCAAAGGCAGATACTCAACCAACTGAGCCACCCAGGCACCTCTTTAAATTAATTTATAAATGTGACTTCTATTGAGTAATATGATGTAGAACATAATATTTCTAATTGATCACTGAACATTTAAAGAAAGCAGTTTAGGGTGTCATGAGCCATTCTTGTTTACATAAGCAAATTATAAAAAACTCTCTTGTTAGTCTGTTATTTTCACCTAAATATTGCCTACCATGAGGTACTACTGCAAGACAAGAAAACATTCATATCAGGATTTTATGACACTCTTTTGAACCAAGTGACAGCTTTTAAGTGGAATTCATGCACTTTTAATAGGTTGAAAATTAAATGTAAAGTTAAAGCTTTATAGATAGCTTCCTAAAAAATGGAAATAAATTGTAAGGGATTGGAGTCAAATAGTTTGTCTTTAACACCATCAAATAAATAGTATTTTCTAATAAAGCATGGCCTCCTGTGGTTCTCATAACCCTGGAATACTCACAAAGTAACCTTCCTCCTTCCCCCACTTTCTACTCAATATGACAAGTTAATTCTTTTCTTTTAATGAGAAAGAATTTACATACTACAAATTCACCCTCTGAAAGTGCACCAAGTCAGTGGTTTTTAGTTACATCCACAAGGTTGTGCTGCCAGCACCACTATCTAATTCCAGAACATTTTCACCATCCCCAAAGGAGACCCTTTACGCATTTGCTGTCCTTCCCCATTCACTCCTCCCGTACACCGGCAAACACATCTACATTCTGTCTCTACAGATTTGCCTATTCTGGATATTTTGTATAAGTGGAATCATACAATATTGATATTTTGTGTCTGGCTTCTTTCACTTAGAATAACATTTTTAAGGTACATGCATATCATAGCATGTATCAGCTCCTCATTCCTTTTTATGGTTGGGTAACATTCCACTGTATGGAGGCACCACATTTTGTTTATCCATTCTTCAGTCAATGGGCATTTGGGTCGTTTCCACTTTGGGCTATTCTAAATAATGTCGCTAAGAGTGTTTCTATACAAGATTTTGTGTGGACATATATTTAATTTTCTTGGGGGAGATAACATAGATCTTTCCTCTCATTTTTCATTGCTTTTCTTCCCCCAGCTTCAAGAATGCCCAGAACAATAGGAACTTTCACATCCTTAACAACTTGATAAATATCGAGCTGTCACTACCCCTAAATCTGATCTCCATTTGCCTGTCTTTTCCCAGAGCCACCCATTGGCCAGATGCACCCCCCACATGGCAGTGTCACTCCTCAAAAGAACAGCAACCTGCTTGTAATCATTGTGGTCACCGTTGGCGTCATCACAGTGCTGGTGGTAGTGATCGTGGCTGTGATTTGCACCCGGCGTTCTTCAGCCCAGCAGAGAAAGTAGGTAACCACTGGTTCCTAGGAGGAGAGAGGTCACTATTTGACCTATCACCTTCTTGAGTTATATTTTTTAGAAGTCTCTTCCTGTGTTCTTTTTTTCATAATTTACCACATATTCCTTATCCTCTGACCTGAGCAAAACCTTGCCTTTGGTTCAGTTCAGGCCCATAACTTGAGTGAGTGAGGGTTAGACTTGCAGACTTAATAATAGAATCCACCTGGAGACCCACTGGGCATTTCTGCTTGACTTGACTACTCTGGTCCAGATCCTTCCTTTCAGATGAGTGCAGGTGTTCCTTTAGCAACATTTAGAAAATGGATTTCATCAGGTTCCAATTCATGGCCCTGTCTGTAATTATGTATAAGATATTGGAGATGTGTGTTCCTTTAAAAGTATTTATCAATTCTGGCATGGAGGCCTGTAGGAACTTAAATCAATGCTTGTTGCAAGAATGGCTACCAAATTCAATGTAGTTATAATACCGTGGAGTATTTAGTTTGGAGATAGAACTTAGGATAGAAGAGAGATCCTTGAAATTAACAATGTTTAGATTTCCTGACTGTGGTTGATTCTCAGAAATTCAACGTTTTGAGGGGTTTAAATTCTTTCCATATTATGCAATTCTACGTTATAGCCCATGCAGATGATGATACATCAAAGTCAAAGTTTAGAATGGGAAGATGGTTTTAATTCAGTTTATCCCCTTCCAGCAACATCCATAACCAGCATATTAACCTTGTGTCAGCCAATTGTGGGAATCAGCAATAATCTCCAGGTTATTCTCTGCCTCTCTAGCACTTTTCAGATCTGGCCTGATATGTCCCGTTCAGCTGTACTCTCTCAATGAATTGGCTCTAATAAGATCTTCCCTTGATTTTTTTCCCTCTGGCCTCAGGCATAATGCTGGCTCTGAAAGCCTGAGACACTGGGTCTATAAGGTAGCTGATTTGACAACTATATGCTACACACAGTTTCAGAGAAAGATTCTCTAACAAATCATTGTTTTTCCTCCCTTGCTAATACCTTAGTTTCTCTTTTTTAAAAATCCTATGACCCATTTGTTAATCTGTATTGTATCTTCCAACCTTTTGAAGAGAAGAATTTGAAATAGGATACAGGACGATGTACAAGCTAAAGAAAGTGACATAAGAGTATAGATGCAGTCTTTGTATTTATTTATGTGGCAGGACAAATTTTATATTTGGTTGCATGTATGAGTTTGGACTATCTTCAAGCTGGTGATAGCTGGTGTGCTAATTCATTGTACTTAAACAAGAAGTCAGGCAGACTGAGCTAAACTTACTCTTGTGTGAGCATTCTGGGAAATCATAATTACACAGAACTTCCAGAGTGCTGGACACCTAGTGAGGCTCTGGAGAAAACTGAACTGTAGTGGAGTAAGGCATTGTACAGTCTCTCGGTGAAATAGTTCCAGGAAAGGGGTTGTGCAGACATAGAATGGGAGAGCATCTATGTGGCAGGTCTCTGAAATAGAGCTGAGAAAGAGTCACTAAAGGAAAATCGGAAAACACCAAAACCAAGCTTGGTCTATTTCATGATAGCTTTAAATACATGAATGTGTTGGGGCGCCTGGGTGGCTTAGTCGGTTAAGCGTCCGACTTTCGCTTAGGTCATGATCTCGCGGTTCGTGGGTTCGAGCCCCGCGTCGGGCTCTGTGCTGACTGCCAGCTCAGAGCCTGGAGCCTGTTTCAACCTGTGACTCCCTCTCTCTCTGACCCTCCCCTGCTCACGCTGTCTCTCTCTCTCTCTCTTTCTCTCCTAGAAATAAATAAAAAACATTTAAAAAAACATTTAAAAAAAATAAATAAATACATGAATGTGTTCACTAAACTAAGTTTAATTACCTGAACCATCTGGAGCGGGGTGTTTTGTTTTGTTTTTGTTTTTGTTTTCATTTTTATCCTTTTGAGAAGAATGTTGGAGGATTATATCGACCTGATGAATTGAATTCCTGGACATATTTTGTTTCCTCATGGAGAAAATGCCAATCTTCTCCATGTGCAAAAGTGGCATTTCATGCTATTTTGAGAAACTCCTAACTTGTCTTAAATCCCATGCTAAGCACTTGTTAAGAGCTTGGAGATTTTAGTTAGAAAGAGTAGAGATTGAACCCTGGATAGGACTCATTTTTAAAATTAAGAGATGAATGAAAGAATATATCAGTCCATAAATGGCTGAAAACCAAAGAAAGGAAATTTATAGCTTCCATCCTACTGCCACTTTGGTTTTTCCTCAGCCTTCACTCAAAATCTCTTAATATTTACTTGGCATATTTTTACAATTTTGCCTCATCTATCTTTCTCATGTAGCACTCGTCCCAGCCTCTTTGTTTGTATATGTTAACAGAGAAAATGTGAAAAAGAAAAATTTATCCTTCAAGATATTCCTGAGTTTTAATTTAACTTTTCTTGATTTCACTGAGGATCCTTCCTGATACCACCATCACTGAGGCTTTTCGAACAAATTAAGTGATGCAGATGAAAGCAAAATCAATTCCAATCTAAAACAGAAATAATGTCCCTTACAGAACTCTCAGAAAAATGAGAGTTTCATGTAATTAATAAAGTGAAATAGGAAGCACATTCATGGATTGCTTCAATATCTCTTTATCTGTTGGTGCTGGAGACTGTAAATTGTCTTTGTGTTTTATTGAGGCTCTTGAATTGTATCCAATGGATTTGAAACATATTTATGTGCACTGTTGGTAATACTTCACTCAAGTGAATGTCCATACATTTTATTGTATGGTTTATCATGTAACATATATTTATTTAATGAGATAGTTATCTGATTGATGCACATTCTAGTTGGTAACATTTTATTTTTATGATATAAAATAACAGAAGATAGAACCCAAGTTCTAATTCTGATCCCCAGTTCTTGAATTAAGTTAGTGATGCTTAATGAAACCTAATCCTTGAATGTCAGTTTCCTCAAATGAGAAATAGGGCTAAATACATTCTATCATCTTCTTCACCTCAGAATACTGAAATTCTCCATGGAATACTATCAAATTATAGAATCACATGGAAACGTTTGGCATCAAATTAATATGAAATAAAAATAATTTTGCATTTCATTTTAGTTATTAATTTAAAATTGCTTACTATTTTGAAAAGACTCCCCTTACACATTTTGAATTAGTGAAATTATAATAGAATAGAAAGAAAAAAATGTGTTTTTGAAAGCTTAGGTTAACGGGGAGTGGGTGAGGGGTTTTGTGCCTTTTAGTAAAGTAATAACATTTTCCCAGCCAAGCTATAGAATAAGGATTATGATAAATTAGAATGCATCTGTAGATACTAAAGACAAAAAATTTGACATTGAGAATATCCTGGAAATCCGTGACACATGGTTCTCACATTTTGAAGACAGTTACCTGGGTAGATTATCAATAGCTTGTCTGAAAAAAATTAAATTTAAATATGTAAATAAAATTCAAGTTTTACTTGATAAAGTCACCAATTGACTAAACATACTACTTGAGTTGACAGGTATATGGCAACTTTTAAATATCAGTCCACATTCTTGACAAAAATAATAATTTTCAGCGCTGACAATCAAATGTTTAACCTCTTAAATGAAATCTACTGTACTGTATCATAGGTTACATTCACTGACTTTAAAGGTTTTAGCATTTTAATTATTTTTCGCTATTTCATAGAGGCAACCTCTTAGGTCTTCAGTGTATCTTAATTCCACCACAGAAAATGCAGGTTTATTTGAGTATCTAGGACACATGTTCCCTGGGTTTTGAATACAAGTTTTTTATTTTACTTTTCATAGCAGTTGGTAGGATGAAAATAATCAATATAGAGAATTAGGAAGTGGGAAACCTTTGGGAAAGATTTGGATAGAAGAAGAGGGCAGGTACTTATACATCCTAATATATTTTGCCTGGTTAACTTGAATCTTTCACACTCTCTCCAGGCCTTCTTCATTTCTGAAGCCTTTTGTAACTCCCTCTTGGGGCAAAGTGTCCTTCTCTCAACCTTCCATCAGATCTCGGATACACACCTATCTGACCACAAGAATTAGTACAGAGCTATTTTTCTGCCTCTTGTGAGCGACTTGAACATAGGATGCCTAAGCAGAGAAAGGAATTTAATAATTTATTACAGTGTGACAAAAGAACCTATGAACTGTTAGTATTATAGAACTTCAAAGGGCACAGTCTTGAATAAAATGGATACTAAACCAATGTTGGCTTTTACCCGTTCACATCCGAAGCATGCTGATTAAAAGTGATTCAGGAAACAAATTTCTATTATAGTAATAGGTTATATGCAAAGTAAGAAACAGAGAGGCCAATAGAAAAAGAGAATCTTGCAAAAAAAATACTTCCAAGTCAATAATGAAAAATTCTTATTATTTAATTCAAGCAATTACTATGTTCAGTATGTGATATGCATTATACAAAGTAACAGATCTGATTAATGTTAACTCTTGAGCTAAAAATCTGTCTGTAATTTCCCACTGACTTCCTGGTATTATTAAAAATGTTTCTGTTGGAGAGAAGGCCTCCTGTGATTTGGTTCCTTCATGTTTTCAGCTTTACCAACTTCCATGACCCATTGCCTACTCATGATTCCAACAATGAAGAAATTCACAGTAGCTGTACCATTTTCCATTCATTTATTAAGCTCCCAGTGTCTCACCTATTTTGGCATTTCTAGTACTTAGTACATTTCTTGGCACATACTCAGTATTCTGTAAATGTTCACTGAATAAATAAATGAATACATGTTGCAAAACAATGGATGCTGTTGAATAAGTGAAAGAAACAGAATTTGCTCCAGTCTCACTGGAGGAAACCAATTCACACACTGGGAGCATCTGGCCAGCTCAGTAAGACAGTCATCAGTGCAAGGTGAGTGGTAAAGAAAGAGACAAGGGAAATGATTTAGGTATTCTAGGTGACACTCGCTTAGCATGATCAGGAAGGCTTCCTGCAGAAGAGAGGATTGAAGAAAATATTTAAGAGTCAGTAGTTTGCAAGTAAATAGGATTGTGAAGGCATTCTGGGCAAAAGTACAATGAGGGAGAGAGAGAGACAGGAAGAGAGAGAGAGAAAGAGATTGAGAGAGAGAGAATAAAAAACACAAACACTTGATTATGCTGTGAAAACTTTGCCCGCGGTATGAGAAAGAGACAGCAGAGAGCCTTCCAAGTTTGCTTGCTTTGCCTTTATTCAATAATCCATGGGGTGGGAAGAGACCCTCGCATCCTATGGCTACTTTTGGAAGCTGGAAGACTACTGGTACCTGTGAGAAAAGGTGCATGTAGGGAGGGGTAAACATGTGACATTCTATATTAATGCAAAAACTAGGTTTAAAATAAAAACAAACAAAACCAAATTCACTAAGGCGATGTTTCTCAAACTTGAGTCGCATCTGATTTCCCTGGAGAGCTATTAAAACACAGACTGTTGGGCCTCACCCTCACCTGCTGACCTGCACCCTCTCACCCCCACCTGCAAGTTTCTGAAGGCCAGTGGAGCCTGAGAACATGCATCTCTAACAGGTTTCCAAGCGATGCTGATGCTGCTGGTCCAAGAGCCACACCTCAAGACCCACTGCATAGGTTCATCCGCATCCACATTTTGAAGGTTCCAATGATGAGATGGAGGATCTAGGGAACCGCAGTGGGTAGCAGCCACTGTGTCAGAGAACCAGCAGATGGACAGAAGGCTGAGATGACAATGTTCCTGCAGGTTTTAAGACAAATCTCAGACAATTTAGTTATGAACAGATGTCATTTTTATTACAAACCTGCTGCCATCGGGCGGCTGGGCTACTACCACCTGCCAGGAAGGGAGTCCTCTCCAAGGTCAAAGATTTCTTTCTTGATAAGAGACATTATAGAAAACAAAAGTAGTTAGTAGATGGTCTTTCATAGAATATATACAAAAAGGAAATAAAGTAGGTTTAGTCTTTAGATTTTTTTTTTTAGTTTTTAAAAAATATTTATTTACTTATTTTTAGAGAGAGAGAGAGAGGGAGATCACAAGCAGGAGAGGGGCAGAGAAAGAAGGAGACAGAGAATCCCAAGCAGGCTCCATGCTATCAGTGCAGAGCCCACCTCTACCTCACCATCTGTGAGGTTAAGAGCTAAGCTGAAATCAAGAGTCAGATGCTTACCTGACTGAGCCACCCAGGCGCCCCTAGAGACTTTAGATTCTTGGCTAACAGCTAAGTGGATGAGCAGCTTCTCAGAAAAGGTCTTAATTTAACTAAAATCCATCAGAAAAATGTGTATGCGTTTTATCAAGAATGATAATGTTTTCCCCGATGGAGGCTATAAATCACACCATACAAAAAGGCTCTACCTCCCTCAGGCTTGGAAATTTTTTTAAGGAAATACATTTGGGGATGCATGGTACTACGATTATAAGGGCTGGTGAATGAATGAATGAATGAATGAATGAATGAGGCCTGTGTTGTAAGCAAGAAGAAACCAGAATTCGTAACTTATTTTTAGTTTAAAAATTATCTGGCACATTTCCCTCCCACACCTACTTAAATATTGAGTTATTATGAAAAGGTTGAACGTCTTATCCTGATGTTGGGAACTGGTACTTCTCTGTTTTCCATCTTGGAGGTAGTGGGATTAAAAAGTTGTTTAGCGTTTTGATTTGTTAGAAGGATAATAGGGTGAAATCTCCAAGTTTGGAAATGACATTAAATTGTAAGAAGTTACCACGGGTAGATTACATAGCGAACTGCGTGTGATTTGCAGACGAGTTCCTGTGGGCAGGTGAAGTATAAGGAAATGAATTCAGGGAATGGATGGTAAGCAGAAAGTTATTATCTGAGATACAAGAAAATGATCTCAAGGGAATTTTACAGACCATTGTCAGAGTCTGTGTGGGACTGCTGCCAAAATCAGCAAAAGGCAGGTAGCTGGAGAGAAAATATTAGAATGGAAAATACTGCATCATTTCTCTACTAAACTACTTGATAAATATTAAGTCTGGCATTCTTTGTCTCCTATCCTTATCAGCGTGCTTCAAAGCAGACAAAATTATATTAAAGAAAATTCAACAAGTCACACCACTAAACATGTATTAATTGATTAATGCAAAGGTTATGTTCAGCACTGGAAAATGAAGCCACTCTCAGTGGCCTTGTACAGGTTACAAAGAGTTTTCACTGAAGCGGTTTGTTAGAACCATTTAGCAACCATGAAAACAGCTGTCCTCAAAAGCCATTTGCTGCAAGTGAGGAAGTGTGGGGAGTTACTTCTCTGGGGTTTTATCAAAGGTTATATTTTAACCGTCTGAATTCTGTCTTAGAAGAGGCATTATTATCAATCAAAGCTACACGTAGAGATTTTAAAAACAGGAACTGTAAAGCAGAGGCAGAAACTTTCTGAAAAGGGACAAACAGTAAATATTTGAGGCTTTGTGAGACATGCGGGACCTAACGTTCTTTGTTGCAACTACTCAACACGCTGCAGTGTGAAAAGAAAGGAGTTCAGTAGGATTCCAATAAAACTTTATTTACAAAATCGGGCAGTGGGCAGATTTGGTCTGCAGGCCATACTTTATTAACCCCTACCAGAGAGAATGGCTAGCATGAGTATCATGCTACTTTACTTAGTCTGCAGGGAACATTTGAATCTCACTAGCCCCACTGAAAAATAAATTTATGCTCGCTAAATTCTTATTGAGAACATAGATATTTGAAGCATACTTCTAAACTACTCTTCTTCTCTTTTCAAAGGATGGATCTTATTGTGTTTCCATCCAGATACTTAGTAACTCCAAGGCAAAAGTGCTTTTATTCTCCTTAGAATGTCCTCATTCAGCCTTTTATCTTCAAATAGCACATTAAATTATACAGCTGAGCTACAGACTTTCTTCTAAACCCCAGTCCGGACTGGCACAAATTCTGGCATTTTATTTCCATTTGCCCTTTCAACACGACTCCTTCATTTATCTCCTAAACAGATGTTGCAGTCAAGTATCTTACGACTGGCTCCAAAGATTGGCATATGGCTCCATCTCACCCATTGTCACCTTGTGGCGAATTTGTAGCTGGTGAAGCTCAAGTCAGGCACTCTCTGGCAGGCAGCCAAAGCCTTGGGGATTCAGAACCACTGCTCCTATAATGTGGTGAAGCTCCAGGGGAGATGAGGAAAGGCAGCCAAGACATGCCTGCCAATTCCTGGGTTTCACAGGTTTCCTCCTGGGAGCACTCTTGTATCCATCTCTGCTTCTAACTTGAATTGACTGAGAAAAGAGAGGAAGGAGCATTGAACAAAGGCACTCACATTTGCTTTCCAATTTTTGTTCCATAGGAAACGGGCCACCCACAGTGTTGGCAAAAGGAAGGGCAGCCAGAAGGACCTCAGGCCCCCTGATCTTTGGATACATCATGAAGAAATGGAGATGAAAAATATTGAGAAGCCATCGGGTACTGACCCTACAGGAAGAGACTCTCCCATCCAAAGTTGCCAAGACCTCACACCAGTCAGCCACAGCCAGTCAGAAACCCAGCTTGGCAGCAAAAGCACCTCTCATTCAGGTAACTCTCCTCTCCGGCATCAGGACAACCCCCCGCCATTCTGAAACCCACAAGGGAGTTCTCTACTTCCTCTTTGATGGAGACATCCTTCCCCTCAATCTGTGGGTCACTTACCAATGTTTAAAATAATCTGATGTAAATTCGGTTGATTAACTAGTTTCTTTTCAATCATCCTACTACCTACCTTTTATAACCACAACGTTACTTAAAACTTCTAAGAGGTTAACAGGTGGTACACTTGGGAAATACTGAAATGTGAAGTAAAACCCCAAAAAACTTACTGCTTTTGTTAAGTCTTGAATGAAAGTTTTTTCAAAATGTGAAGATATTTGTACATTTCTAAAAATTTTTTTAATGGTTATTTATTTTTGAGAGAGAGAGAGTGCAAGTAGGGGAGGGGCAGAGACAGAGAGACACAAGAATCCAAAGCAGGCTCCAGGCTCAGAGCTGTCAGCACGGAGCCCAATGTGGGGCTCAAACCCACTAACCAGGAGATCATGACCTGAGCCGAAGCCAGACGCTTAACTGACTGAGCCACCCAGGCACCCCTACTTGTACGTTTTTTAAATTCCTTCAATTATCCTGTCTATGAATAATTGAAAGTTGATTTTAAATTTGTTCTCACTGGCACCTGGGTGGCTCAGTCAGTTAAATTTCTAATCATGGCATCCGATTTTGGATCAAGTCATGATCTCATGGCTCATGGGTTTGAGCTCCCTGTCAGGGTCTGTGCTGACAGCTCAGAGCCTGGATCCTGCTTCAGATTTTGTGTCTTCATTTCTCTCTGCGCCTCTCGCCTCCTTTCCCCCCCATGCCCCCACATCTCATGCTCTGTCTCTTTCTGTCTTTCAAAAATTAATAAAACATTTAAAAAAATTAAATTTGCTCTCAAGTCATTGCATTAAAAAAATCACATTAGGGCCACGTAACATGTGAAAACATTGACTCTCCTGTTATTTCGGCCTTGATTACTGTGAAATTCAACTTTCATCCCCATGTAGTCACATTATATGATCACTAGCCTAGGTTGATGGAGTCTATCTGCAGCCAATGTTGATATACAACACGATCAGAAGAAAAAAAGCCTACTGTTTAATAAATAGGTACAGAACAATTCATGTCTAGGAATAACTAAGAACATGGCTGTAAGATATTTCACTTTCTGTTGGTCACCATATTTTCGAACTGCTTATGGGAAGCAGAATAATCAATCAAGTACTCTCATCCAAAAAAAAACCCAGAAACAGAAACAAACCTCTTGGTCTACTCGTGTTTACAGAATGAGTGGCTGTTGTTTTAAAACTGAATTAAAATATTTTAGGTATTTGAACATGTAACTGGTTTACTAGACTTTTTCAGCTTAGAATTGTTTAAACAAGGAAATCACTTACTGATTTTTAACCGCAAGTTGTTGAGTATAATTTTTCTAGCTCTTAAAGAACAGTTCAAGCAGATTCCCTAACGTTTCCATCATTTTCAGTTGGTTAAACTGCATTCTAGTTTGTTCAAACTTGCAATCTGAAATATAAATTAAAAGTTCTCTTTTCCTTATGGCCAGCTAGACTTTTGGCTCTGAAGACTAGGGCTGTAATTTGTTCTTTAAAGCCTCCAGCACCTTGGAGGAGAAGTGGGGATAAGGCAGAAGGAGGAAGCACAGTCTGGTTCAGAAACACCTTTACTTATTCCTCCTATCTATTTGTTCTTCGTGGCTGTGCAGGAGGATGGGGAAGGGAGACAAGGAGAGAGGCAAGGAGGGAGGGCAGAAAGGACAGTTTGAAGTGCTGTGCTGCTTTTTGAGCATGTGGACTGTCCTCATGTGACATCCAAATTCTGGGTCTCTTGTGAAACACAAGTATGAATTCTTTATGAGACCCTGTGGAATTCTTCCACTGGCTAATTACAGGCTGTGAGATATCAAGTCAGGGCTTCACCCACTCCTACCAGGAATCACTTGGTCAACCTTACTGTTGTCTGGCAGGTCAGGGGCACTTGGGTGAATTCCAGCAAGAAGATTCAAGCTTGAGCAACTTTCCAAGTACCTATTTGACCCAAAAGAAGCACCTGCTTCTTTGCCAGGTGCTGGAATCCTGCTCTGGCCGGGTCCAGGGGTCCCTGAAGGATGGATGGTGTCAGTGAGGGAGGGATGAGAGAGCCCCGAGAAGCTTTCTGGGCACCAGGCAGGCATCTCTGCTCTGACTAGGGCTCAATTTTAATTTATAACTAAGTGTTTGGGGGATGGCACCGAAGTGGCATTTGCCTTAGACAATGATTTCTGATGACAAATTTCTTTGATATGTAAGAATTTCCCTGAACATAGATTTGTAGAAGACACATGCATAACCTTTATCAATAGTGATTGAGGTAGGGGATTTAGATGCTTATCCTATGGGGAAGGAAGGTATCTTTAGCATATTATACAATGTTTTTAGCATAAAAATTGTTTATTTTAGTTCTTTGTGAGCAGGGGTCAATAGCTTGTTTGTTTAAGGGGAAGTATTAAGAAAAACAGGTCTTTCAGGAAACACAAATGTTTGCTCCCATAATCACAAAAGAAGTTCCTACAATAGGTTCCTTCACAGGGTGCAAACAGCATATTCAAGGCCAGAATAAGTCACTCCGAATACTGATCAACAAAGATGCCTTGGGGGTTGGTGCTCCAGGCAGAAACAATTGAGGGTGGTGGTGGATGTCCATAGCCATCTAATCAGTAAGAGTCTGTGCAACTCACCTTAACCTCATAGGGAGTCTTTCTCAACCTATGAGCTCAGAATCGGCTCCCAACATCCAGGCCAAATGAAAAAGCTCATATTCCACTACTGGCACTCTTTCAGTCTTGCTCTCTCCAATAACCTCTTCTGTTTATTTATTTATTTATTTTTTTACAAATAGTTTATTGTCAAATTAGTTTCTACATAACACTCAGTGCTCATCCCCAAAGTGCCCTCCTTCATGCCCATTCCCCCCTCTCCCCCACATCCATCAGTCCTCAGTTTTTGTCAGCATTCAAGAGTCTCTCATGGTTTGCCTCTCTCCCTTTCCCCCACCATTTCCGCCCTTCTTCTCCCCCTTGTTCCTCCATCAAGTTCCTCCTAATCCTCCTATACGTGCAAACATATGGTATTTGTCCTTCTCTGCCTGACTTATTTCGCTCAGCATAACACCCTCAAGGTCCATCCATGTTGCTACTCATGGCCAGATTTCATTGTTTCTCATTGCCATGTAGTATTCCATGGTATAGATAAACCACATCTTCTTGATCCATTCGTCTGTTGATGGACACTTAGGCTCTTTCCATGTTTTAGCTATTGTGGAGAGTGCTGCATGAACATTGGGGTACATGTGCTCCTATGCCTCAGCATTTCTGTATCCCTTGGGTAAATTCCTAGCAGTGCTATTGCTGGGTCATAAGGGAGTTCTATTGTTAGTTTCCTGAGGAACCTCCACACTGTTTTCCAGAGGGGCTGTACCAGTTTACATTCCCACCAACAGTGCAGGATAACCTCTTCTGTTTAAATAGACACAGGGTAGACCAGCAAGCCAGCTACCTGAACAGACTACTATCTGGAGAGTGAATGAAAGGTAGATCTCTTTTGCAGGAACCTTCACACTTTACACGTGTTTATTCTGGCAGCTTTGGCTCCTAGAGGGGCATCAGGAGGAGAGCACTGTCTCCCACTGGGAGGGACAGAATTGCTTCTCAGCCCACAAAAGATTTTGCCAGTTATTTCTAGGACTCCTCCTTCTTTATATTTCCCTTTATCTTTTAATGACATTTGGGGTGGGGACAGCCAGACTACTTTTGATCATTTAATAAGTCCTGGGAGAAGCTTAACTCCAACTGATAGCTGGTTTTTTTTATTTTTATTTTTTTAGAATGAGAGGGTGTTTGTGCCTATTTGTTTTTAATTTGAGGACCTACTTGACAACTCTATAGTAAAAGGAAAGTAGCACTCAAAGTCCTGCTGGTTATCTTTTCCATTATGGGAAGCATTCTCTGTACTCTCCTTGTTAAAAGAAGAAAACTCTATGTTAATAAATAATTTACTTTTAACTGCTCTGGTCTACTAGGAAACTTCTAAATCACTTTTCCTTGGAGTAGATTTTCTGAATGTTTCTAGGTCAAGCTTAGGAGCCTTATTCCCCTCTTCTCTCTTTTGTGTTGTTTTCCCAAATGTTCAACTTTGAGTCATAGCTTTGCTGGAAAATATTATTTATTTTTGTGCTTGTAGGAAATCGAAAGTTTGTTTATTCTCTCCTCTTTAGTTGTTTCAAAAGAGTACATTTTGCATAGCTTTATTGTCTTATATGGTTCTATGTAGATTTTTGGAGGATGTATGGACAGATACAAATCTAGGCAGCTGTCATTATCTGGGCTGCATAGAAATTTCCCCCAGCATTATTTTAAATTTTGAATTTTATTAACTACTATTTTAATCAAAAAATATGTGTGTGTAATTTAAAAAAAAAAGAAAATAGTATGGAAAGTTGTGAAAATAACTTTAATAATAGCCAGAGGAAATAAAAAGGAGGTTTACCTTTTCCCCATCCCCAAATTCCTTATCCCTTTCATGAAAGGAAGGCAATGTTAAGAATTTTGTGTTTAATCTTTCTATACAGATATACACATACACACACATATATAATATATATAATATATAATACACAGATCTATTGACATTTATATATTTATACACACAAATGTGTATATATAATATGGTTTATGTGTGTATTACACAAATGATATACACACTATTCAAAAATTCAGTTTTATTGTTCTCAACATGTATTTTTAAAAATGTTTATTTATTTTTGAGAAAGAGAAAGAGACAGAGAGTGAGCAGGGGAGGGGCAGAGAGAAAGGGAGACAAAGAATCCAAAGCAGGCCCCAGGCTCTGGGCTGATAGCACAAAGCCCCTTGAGGGGCTGGAACCCACAAACTGTGAGATCATGACCTGAGCCAAAGCCGGGCACTTAACCAACTGAGCCACCCAGGCACCCCTCTTTGTTAACATATTAAATTTACACATACCATTCTTATCATTTTTAATGAATCTTTGCCATAATATTTTATGGAATTATAATGAATTTATGTAAATATACCTAACCTTACTTTTTAAAAATGTAGTTTATTTTCTGAGTTTTTATAATAATTTGTAATGTCTTTGGGCCCTAAGTACTAGTTGCATAAAATGTGGTAAATTCATAGTTTATGTGGGATGTTTATGGAATGTTAAAAAGTGATAAAAATGGGGCACCTGATTGGCTCAGTTAGTAGAGCACGTGACTCTTGGTCTCCGGGTCAGGAATTCAAGCCCCACATTAGGTATACACTGTACTTAAAATAAAATAAAGTAAAATTAAATTAAACAAAACAGATGGTGCTCGTGAACTTAGAAACATAAGTATTTTTAAATAAATAAATAAACATTGACTTGACAGAGGAAAACATTCATATTACTAAGAAGTTTACAAAATAGTATGTATGGTATAATGTAACTTTAGTAAAAGATATATATATATGTGTATATATATATAAATATAAGTATATATAAATATATACTTTCTCACTTTCAGATATAAACACATAAGCCAACCTTAAAAAGAACAAAATATAGATAATGGTTCTTTCTGAGTAACAGGGTTATGGTACATTTTATTAATGTTTGTGCAATGGGACTCTATTGATTAGGTAACAAAAAAGTAGATATTATTATTTAAAACATCAATAAAATAAAAAAGACATTGACGTGCCTAGCTAGAAATTATGTGAAGTGTTGCATCATTGAAGAAGGTGTGTCTCTCAGTATTGTTATTATTGTAGGTCAAGACACTGAAGAAGCAGGGAGTTCTATGTCCACTCTGGAAAGGTCACTGGCTGCACGCCGAGCCCCTCGGACCAAGCTTATGATTCCTATGGATGCCCAGTCCAACAATCCTGGTGGGTAAAGATTGGTACCACAATGAAGAAATGAAGTGTTTTCTGGTTTCATCTTTTCTATATCAAATCATCAAAAATATATAGAGTTTTCCCTGAATTTTCTGGGCATCTGGACAAAAGGAAGAATGACTAAAACCCTTTGTTTATAATTTGAAGTCAAACTTACACTGTTATTGTGGTATCTCTTGTATATAATCCAATGGTCTGTTGCAAAGCAGATGGCTACAGAGTTAAGGAATTATTTAAAAAATATGAGTTGATATAAAAAGAAAGGAAATTTTTGTCACTATTATTGATCTTATTCTAATGATCACATTCATATTTTTTTAACTTTTTCAATTGGTTCAATTTCAAGTCTTAAATAACCCAGCAGCCTTGAAGCAAGGGTTAACAGATATCCAGTAACTACCATCTTCTTTTTGAAGTTTTCTCTCATATTCTCACCTTTACTGAAGATATTAGCACACCTGGGGATCACTGCCCTTCTAATTACCTCTATGATTCATCTTGGTAATTATAATATCCATGCAGGCAATTCATCCAATGACAGTAGACTGTGGGTCTCTTTATGGTGCCTGCAATGATACTGGCTCCTTCCCACCGCAATTCATCAATTCCATGACACACGCTAAACCAATCATTGTAACCCTTACAATCTCCAGTTTCTATCCTCGCTTTTTCTATTACTTTGTTATTTTCCTTCTCACTTATTTTATTTCCCCCTTGCCAACAATTCTTCAATCCCATTAAGACCTCCAATGCATTAACTCTGCTACCTTTCCACTGTCCCTCATCTGCTTCATGCCCTAAAATTTCCCTCCAAACTCAAATGAGAAGTCATTGCCATTTATCACTCTCAGTCCCTTGCAAACACCCTCAACTCCATTGATCCTCCTTCCCCATCATACTCACCAGAAAAAAAACGCAACCCTGCTTAAATTAGCTGTACTACCAGTTCTCACCATGTACACTAACAGCCGATTTATCTGGAGAAAACACATGACTTCTTGCTGGGCATTATCAGTCATGTATTTGGAAATGCCACTCATTTCTCCATTCATTCATTATTTCAGTTTATAAAATGAATGTCTTGTATCTATTCTTCTCAGACTCCCCAAACCTCTCTTCTTTCTCCGTGCTCAGCCAATCCTCTAGCTTCTTACATTACCAAAAAGAGAGAAGCATTGAGAAATGGTATCCTTATCCTTCAATCAAATCTAGTTAATGTGTTTGTGCTCCTTTCACATAACAGCTCTGTCCCCTGTTGCCATCCCTTCTCACTTACTTGGGGACTCTTGTAAGTATCCCTTCCTTTTCCTGCATCATCCATTTTATCTCTTCATAGATAATTCCAGCTGACATACAAACATTCTGTCATAACTTCTGTTTTAAAATAACATCATTGGAAACTACTTTCCCTCCAAATAAAGCCTATTTCTCTCTCTTCCTGAAAAACTCCTTTCAAAGTTGTCTATACCTGCTTTATCCTGTTTGTAAATTTCCTTCTTAATTTCAATGAAACATTTTCTGTCCACTGAAATCATAGTTTCAAGGTTATCAATTATCTCCACATTGTCAAAATAGATGGTCAACTCTCAGATGCTCAACAAAATCTGACATAGCTTCTCACTTATTTATTTATTTACTGAAACACTGTCTTCACTTGCCTTATGGTATACTAAATGTTCCTGGTTTTCTTTCTTTTCCATTGCTGCTCCTTCTGAGTATCTTTTATTTATTCCTCCTCTTATTCCCAATCTCAAAGTCAAAGAGTGCCTGAGGGATCAGTCTTCAGCCTTTCTCTTCTACCTACCTAGATCTTTCTATGATGTCACTTAATTCTGAGGGCCTTAATGCCATCTAAATCTTAATAAATTCCAAATTTTACCTCTAGCTTAATCTCTTATCATAACCCATATCAAGTTTCATATCAACCATTGACTCAATATTTCCATATGGCCATCTAATAGGCAAGTCAGTTGTGCTCAGAATGGAAATCATGCTTTTCATAATTCCCTTTCCCCACCTCCAAACTTGATCCTTCTACTGCTTTCCCTATTTCAGTAAATGGTACCACAGTTCATCCATTTACTCTTTTTTTTATTTTTTTAATGTTTTGTTTATTTCTGAGAGAGAGAGACAGTGTGAGCAGGTGAGGTTCAGAGAGAGAGGGGGAGACACAGAATCTGAAACAGGCTCCAGGCTCTGAGCTAGCTGCCAGCACAGAGCCTGACACGGGGCTCGAACCCACGAACTGCAAGATCATGACCTGAGCTGAAGTCGGATGCTTAACTGACTGAGCCACCCAGGCATCCCTCATCCATTTACCCTTGTTGAACACTTTACTTTCATTCTCTTTTATCCAAATTTCATCACACCCCAAATTCAGTCTTTCATCAGTCCTACAGTTTTCTTTATAATACCTGTCCCAAATCTGACCACTGCTTCCTAGCTCTACTGCTCTGTCCTAACCCATGCCACCACCATCTGTTAGAGATTCTTGATCATAGCTCTAACCTCTACTCGACTAAACTAGTCTCTTTTCTTTAGCTCTTGCCCCTATAGCAAGTTGTCTATAGAGCAGCCTTTCAAGTGTGTGAATTAGATCATGTTACTCCTCTTGACTTCCCAACACATTAGAATGTAATCCATGATATTACCATGTCTTACTAGGCCCCATGTGATAAAGCCTCCAGACTCATTCCTCACTCCATTTCTTGCTACTACTCTAATCCATTTCAGCCTCATACCTCTTCTCTCTGTTCTTTGGATAGTAACACGCATTCAAATGCAAGGAATTTTCACTTGCTGTTCTCTTTCTCTGGAATCTCTTTTCATAGATATTTACATGCCTTTTCCTTAATTTCATTCAATACTGTGTTCAACAGCTCCCACTACAGGTGTTCCCTGACCAGTGTCACATATAGCATCTGTGGTCACTCTCTGCTCCATTTTTTCTGCTTTGCTTTGCTTTATTAATGTGTATGACTATCTTGCTTGCATTTTTGTGTTTGTTTATTTTGTTTCCTGTTCTTTAATGTAATATCTATGAGGATAGAAATTTTGTCTCTGTGATCACTTCATATCCTTAATACCCAGAAAAGAGCCTGGTGCAACTGCTAGACTTCAATCAAGATAATTTAGGTGAATGAATTAACGGTGGCTTCTCTCTACTTTACTGTATGTCATGTTTCCTCCATGCCCTAATTCAGTTCTCAGTGTTACTCTAATAAGTACAAAAACTTTTATGGAATTTATAATGATTCCTAGCTGTTCAATTCATAGGATAGATATAATTATTATGCCTGTTTCACTAATAAGGGAACTGAGGCTTGGAGAGTTTAAGTACCTAGCTTTTGGTTACACAGCAACTAAGTGGCATAACCAAAATTTGGACTTACAAGATTTGGCTTCGGAGTTCCGGCTCCTCCTTATCACTAAGCTCCCTGCAGCAGTGCTCTGTGAATCCATCATCCTTCTTCTTTCATTTCTTTCACTACATAGAGAAGCACTGTACACTGAGCCATTTCTCTTTGCCCCTCCAGCTACTTTCCTCTCAACAAAATTCTAGTGGTACCAATTTTCTGTAGTTTCTTCTTAAAAAGTTGCTGTGCTTCATGTGTCAACTATACTAAAAACAAATCCTTTATGGACCTTTCTGTTCCATGTATAATCTTCTTACCCAATAAGATCTCGTATCTTGTTGATTTTCCTCCCACAGTATCTTTTGACTCCCTTCTACCTTCCCATTCCCGAGAGTCATATGGTAATTCTCTTCTTTATGACCTTACACCTGAACTGTTGAAACAATAACGAGACTTCCCCCTTTCTAGCATCTTCCAGACTCATATGTATCCTACTTTCTAGGTGTGTTCCTAAAACAACTTAAATATGGCATTCCATTCTATAAATTTCTCCAAAGGCTCCCCATTGTCTGCCAAGAAAAAAACAACTACAAACTGCTGAGCATCTCACATTTGAGTCTACATTTCTAGTATCTTGTTTCTATGCCTACATTGATATATGATAAGTAGGTAGATATATGATGATAGATAGATATAGAGATATAAAGATAGATATAAAGACATAGATATATAGAGATATATCCTAGACTCCCATAAGGCTAGACTAAAGTGCCTTTCCATAAATATACATTGTTTTTTCTTTGTTTTTCCCCCCTCTAAACATTTCTTTCCTTTTGGAATGGCTCAGTGGCTATCTCTACCTAACAAAGTTACATGCATCTTTCAAAGACCAGAGCAGATAGTGCTGCTCTCATAAATTCTTTCTTTTTTGAATGCTATATCCAGAAATGATGGCTTCCTCTCTCATGTTTAAATAGCATCTTGTTCTACTATACAAAATGCTGTATCCAGAATGCTGTATCCAGAAATGATGGCTTCCTCTCTCATGTTTGAAAAGCATTTTGTTCTATTATATTTGTAGCATTAATTATGTGCTGCCTCATATGTTTAGGTATTCAAGTCCAAATCTGTCGTCTTCTAACAGGTTGTGAATTACTTCATGATAGGGAGGGAATGTATCTAATTCATCTTTGCATTCATACATTGTATAGCTCAATACTAGCACAAAATTAGTGCTTGCTAAACATCTGTCATCTGAATGAATGAATAAGTAAATGCATTATAAGAGTGCCTTGTGTTTGTAATACACCAGTGTTTAAGGACCTTTTAAAAAATCAGTTATAGTTAGAATATCTTCTAATAAGATTTTATGATATATTAAGGGCAGTTAAAATCGTTTTTACTAAATAGGAAAGGATATAATGAGCTTAGAAAGAATGAAAAATGAAATGAAACCTAACAAATACTGAGAATTTTTGAATATTATTCACTTGCTAAATACCTTGCTGATTACTATTTCAGTGAATCATCATAACATTGTCATGTGGTGAGATTATCCTGATTTTACAGATAGAAAATTGAGACTCAGACAGCTGACTGACTTACCTCAGGACACACCTGGACAACCTCTCAACT